GCAGCTCTCTAGCCCCGATACACACCACACCACACAATAATAACCTCCAAACAATACACCACACAATAATAACCTCCAAACAATACACCACACAATAATAACCTCCAAACAATACCCCCACACAATAATAACCTCCAACACCTTGCCATCGCTCGTTCTGTGTCAGAGACAGTGCTACATGAGTTCTTGTGACCAGATATCTAACGGTAGCTCTTATCCCTTAGCCAAACTCCTTTCTAGGTCACTTCCAGCGTGACATTTTTCAGTGGCTCTACAAGAGTATAGAAAGTGGCCAGCTTCAAAAGATAGGCTTTTCCTCAAACTGGGAAGTCTCTCTAGAAGTCTGGAAATATTACAGAGTGAGCATGTTCTGTCCTTGGAGGCAAAAGGACTTAGAAAGGAAAGAAGGGAGTGAGGGTCAGAGCCCCTCTCCTACTGCTGTACAACCCCATTCCAGGAGGAGAGACCAGGATGGTGAAAACACTGTTTTTGCAGCTGTCACACGAATGCTATTCAAAATTCCCCTTCTGTAGTCCAGGGTTTAATGCAAATTGTCCACCTCACGAAGGGTCAAAATGATAATTTAGGTGCAATTAGCCAGATGTGTCAGAATGAAATGTCTCCCACCCCATCCCAAATTATCTGAATAATTTATACACATAATCACCTTACTCCAGTGGGAAACAGTATGTATGCCCTTGTTGATTTCACCCAAATACCTAGACTTTCCAACAGTGTTATAATATATCGAAAAAGTGCCAAGTCGGGGGGAGCAAATAAGATAACTGTGAGGCCAAGCTGTCTCTCTTTTCAATGCAGACAGAATTAATATGTTTTCATTAACTCCTTATCAAGTTACCTGACTTTGATTCCCAGCACAAAATGTATTTAAAAGAGGGGAGGGGGTGATGGCAGTAGATTTTCAGGAAATAGCAAGTTCTTTTTCTAGTGAGATAAAAATCATTTGGCAAGCCAAGGTGAAATACTTCTACAGAGAGAGAGAGAGAGAGAGAGAGAGAGAGAGAGGACTTTAGAAAATGCTAATGAACCACAAAAGGAAAAGAAGGAAGTATATATTTTTTTAAATGAGCCCTTACTTTTGAAAACGGCTCAGTTTGCAGCTAATTTTTGAAGGAATGTCAAAGGTATTCCTTGGAGAGCTATGTCGAAGCTGAACCAGGCCTTCGGAGGCCTGCCGTCAAGCAGTGGGCAGTTCAGGTGCCTTTAATTAAAGGGCCTGACTCATCAGGGCTGACCTTTCTGGCGCATCCTTTCATCTCCAAGAAGGATGGAGCCCCTAAGAACCAGTGACACGGGCGCAGGGAGGGGCTCCCTGAGCCTGGCGGCCAGGCTGCAATGTGAGGAGACAGGGTCAAGGTGAAGAGCGGGGGAATCAGTCTGTTCTGATAATTCCACATGTGAAGGAAGGGAGACATCCCACAGGCTGGTGAGGATGGAACCAACCGATGACTCCCTCTTCATTGAGAGCCTTCAAAACCCCTTGGCCCCCACAGTAGCCATCCTCACCACATTCTCCTGTATTCAGATGCTGCTGTGACAAGAGACACATTCTCCAATATTCAGATGCTGCTATGACAAGAGATGGTAAATGCAGGACTTTTAACTGCTGTCCTAAGAGCCCTTAGCCCAGGGGTCGACAAACTCATTAGTCAACAGAGCCAAATATCAACAGGGCAACGACTGACATTTTTTTGGAGAGCCACATTTTTTAAACTTCAACTTCTTCTAACTCCACTTCTTCAAAATAGACTCACCCAGACCTTGGTATTTTGTGGAAGAGCCATACTCAAGGGGCCAAAGAGCCATGGTTTGCCGACTACTACCTTAGCTATCATTTGTCAGCCAGGTGTCCTTGGAAAATACACTGGATCCCTCTAAACCTCACATGTCTTAGCTATTGACTTGGCATTGTAATTCCAAACTTTCTCATTGCCGTGAAAGGGAAGCATACAATGGCACTGACGCCCCCCAGTACTCTTCACCAGCAGGCTTGTTGCCTGACCTTTCTGAAGAGGTACACCCCTTCCATAAAGTGGGGAGAGAGTGCCCATCTTCCCGCCCCACAAGCTCCTAGCAGGTAACTGCACTACATACATAGCAGTTGATGTACTATAATTATGAATTAATACAGGGTGGGGCAAAAGTAAGAGTTCCAAGGAGAGTACATGAAACATAAGTTCTGAGTAGAGTACATGAAACGTAAGAATTTATTCTTGTACCCTTGTTTATTATTGTATTGTTTTCCATGCAAACAACTGTCAACCTACTCTTGCCCCACCCTATATAATGAATAAATTGCATAGGTCCTAGTATGCACTCGGTAAACCTTAGCTGCTTCCCTTGCACTTGGGGGAAGGAGGGCCCTTGGTGTTTAGCAGTGAGGGCACTCAGAATAGCATTATCAATAGTTAATCAGCAAGGTGGCCAACAAGGTACTAAGAGAAAAGGACTCCAAAAAAATAATAATAAAAGTTTGCTCTAGACCCATTTATGGCAAGACATGCCTGGCTCCTTCAGATGCCAGGGCTGGTTTTTTTCCATCCTGCAAACACATGGCTCCCATTAGCAGACTGACACTGACACGTCCGAGGCTTCCAAAGCACTAGGGGCCTCCGACGAGTGAAAGGTTTGCATGCCCAACAAGGGAAAGGCAGGACGTGCAGGCACGGAAACGCTGCCAGGGGCGGGGCCGCGGAGGTGTTGAGTTTAGGTAGGAGACCAGATCTGGCTCTGTTTTTAATGACCGTCCTGTCCACACCTGAAAATAAACTAGCCACACCTGTGAGATTCCCGGCGCTCTGGAGCTCTGACGAGATGTCAGTGTGCATACACAGCCTTCATTAATCAGAGGGAGCGTTGCACAGTGCGTGCTCAACTGGGGAACGGTGCACACCCCAGCTCTGCTGAGCTTTCTAATTCCAAGCCAACCCCAGCTCCAATGCTCTGCTCCCTTTCATTTGAGTCCTGGGGACATCAGTATTCGGTTGGCTTCTCAGAAACAGGCCTGAATTCTAATTAGCTCGCAGTTAGAGGCTGCATAATGGTAACTCAACCCTCGCCTAACCTCTATCATCTGTTTCCCATCTTCAAAGCTGCACGGTCCACTTTTGTGCTGCACAACAGTAGGCCAGGGACCTCATTGGTGTTTGCTGTCTCATAGCAACAAGGGCTATTTGAAAGGGGTGATAGGCAGGGACAGCCCCAGCCTGAGAAGTTCGGGACAACTCTTTGCTCTAAGTTTCATCCCCAAAGGGATGAGTCCAAGTAAATGAGGCTTTGTGTCCCTGATTACAGAGAGGACCTACTTAGTCAGCACCACCCTGTTATCTCTCAAAATGTTTGCGGCTTCAGACTGTGCAGTAAGGTGAGCAAATAAAACTGTGATGAAAGCTTAATGAGGGCACATTTGCCTAATCCTTGGAGCTGATAACGGTGTTTTCACATATTCCAGATCACTTACAGAGTCAGCAGCCATATGAGTCAGGTGAGCAGTTACTATTAACCCATTTTACAGGAGAGGAAAGAAAGACTGAAGAAGGACAGCTGTGTCTCACAGCTTCCCTGACTAATTCTCTTAAACCCTGAGCTAGTTTCTACATCTCTGTGTTCATGTGTCCCAGCCTGTAAAATGCTGGGGGTTCAGGGGAAGGCAACAGTTGTTATTTCATGAGTTGTTATTAGGATGACTGAGTTAACATAGGTAAAAGTCTATAAGTTCTTAAAGACCATGTGTGACATAGAAAGCGTTCAAAATATGTTGGCTCTGGTGATTGTGAAGGAAGGTAGAAAGTTGAAAATGTGGGACCCAAGAGCCTTAGGGTTGAGAATACCCCTGGGGAGACAACCTGAGCTGAATTGAAAGCTACCTGAAACCTTGGGTTTCCGGTGTGAAAACCCTACGAGGCCCAGGCAAGCTGGGACAGCTGGTCACCCTGCACTCCATAGGTACTCAGTCTATTCCATTAGACAAATGAAAGAACTAAAGCCTGAGGAGTTACAAGTTTACACAGATATCCAGGCTGGTTGAGATTTTTTTTAATGTATGCTTTTATTTTGTTGTTGTTGTTTTAATTTTATTAAATTTACTAGAGGCCCGGAGCATGAAATACATGCATGGGTAAGGTCCCTAGGCCTGGCGATCAGGGTTGATTGGGGCCTTCCAGCTGCCAGCTCAGGCCTTCTTTCCCTGGCTGCCAGCTGCCGGCTGGGACCTCCCTTCATTCCATGCAGTCCCTTGGTGGTCAGAGCATGTCATAGCAAGCGATCAAACTCTGGTCTCCTGGTGGAATTCCTGAGGGGACACTTTGCATATTAGCCGTGTGTGTGTGTGTGTGTGTGTGTGTGTGTGTGTGTATGTGTGTATATATATAATTGGGGTGACGTTGATTAATACAATTATGTAGGTTTCAACTGTATAATTCTATCATACATCATCTGTATATTGTATTGTGTGTTCACCACCCCAAGTCAGGTCTCCTTTCATCACCATAAATTTGAGCCTCTTTAACCTTTGCTAGCTCTCCTCGACCCCTTTCCCTCTGGTACCACCGCACTATTATCTGTTCCAGTGAGGTTTTATTTGTTTGTATGTCTTATTTGTTCCTTTGTGGCTTTCAGTCTTATATCCCATGTATGAGTGAAACCATATGGTTCTTGACTTGTCCCATCCGATTTATTTCACTTAGCATGATATTCTCAAGGTCCGTTCATGCTGTCACAAGTGGCAGTGTAGTATTAAGGCTGAGTAGTATTTCAATTTATATGAGTTCCATGTCTTCTTTATCCAGTCATCTATCAAAGGAGGCTCTGATTGTCTTAACCTGTGCTTTTAATCCATATAAGCTACTTGCTACAAAGAGCTTCTCCCTAGAAGGCAAAGTTAAAGCATATCAGCAAGTGAGGGAAGGTGGCTGCTGCTCTCTCTGAGAAAGGGCAGTACTCTCCCGGATAGTGTTTCTCTGTTGTCGATGCTGTTCCTTTTCTGTTCTACTGTTGTTATACTTCCAAGTGATCTGAGGCATAATCTGAAATGTTAATTCGCAGAGTCTTAGAAAGGGGTTTATTTTGATAAAGGAAATAATGCTGAACAGGTTTAAACATGTATTATACATGCTGGAGAAAGTTCAGTTTCATGTCCGTTAAGGTTAAGAACAAGACAAGATAGCCACTGTCACTACACCTCTAATATTATATTGACGTCATGATTAATGCTGTAAGACAAGGAAAATATGAGCTATTGGGTCTGAAAGAAAATTGTTATTTGTAAAAAATATAGTCGACATACAATATTATATTACTTTCAGGTGTACAACATAGTGGTTTGACATTTATATTCCTTACGATGTGATCACAATAAGTCTAGGAGCCATCTGTCACCACACAAAGTTATTACTTTATTATTGACTATGTCCCTGCACTGTACATTCTTTCTCCATGACATTTTTTTTTATAACTGAAGGTTTTTACCTTTTATTCCACTCTACCTTTTGCACCCATATCCCTACCCGCTCCCCTTTTGAAATCATCAGTTTATTCTCTATGAGTTAGGTTATTTGTGTGTGTGTGTGTGTGTGTGTGTGTGTATGATTGTGGTGGTGTTTTTTTACATTCCACATGTAAGTGAAATCCTATGATCTTGTCTTTTTCATTCTGTTTTATTTTTGTGTAATATTTCATTATATATATATATATATATATATATATATATATATATATATATATATATCTTTACCTCTAAACACACATACACACACACACACATACACATTCTGAATGGCCAGATTATTATGATCTCTGAATGCATAATAATCTGACCACTCAGTATGTGTGTGTTTGTGTGTGTGATATATATATCATTATATATATATATATATATCTCACAACTTCTTTATTTTTTCACCCATCCATCCAAGGACACCTAGATTGATTACATATCTTGACTACTGTAAATAATGCTGCAGTAAAAATAGGGGTGTGTATTTCTTTTTGAGTGAGTGCTTTTATTTTCTTCAAATAAGTACCCAGAAGTGGAATACTTATTTGTATTCCACTGGGTCATGTGATAGTTCTATTTTTAAGTTTTTTGAGGAACCTCCATACTATTTCCATAGAGGCTGCACCAATTTACATTTCCACCAACAGTGAACAAGCTTTCCCTTTTTTCCACATCTTCACCAACATTAGTTATTTGTTGACTTTTTTTTATAATAGCCTTTCTGACAGGTGTGAGGTGATATTGTGGTTTGGATTTGCATTTTCTTAATGATTAGTGACATTGGCCATATGTATGTCTTCGTTGGAGAAATGTCTGTTTAGGTCCTCTACCCATGTTTTAATTGGATTGTTATTTGGGGGGGTTATGTTGAGTTACAAGAGGTCTTTATATATTTTGGATGTTAACCCTTTATTGAATATACCGTTTGCAAAATATCCTCTCCCACTCCGTAAGTTGTCTTTTATTTTGATAGTGCTTTCCTTTGCTGTGCGAAAGCTGTTTAGTTTGTTGTAGTCCCATTTCCTTATTTTTTTCTTTGTTGCCCTTGACTGGGGAGACATATCCAAAAAGATATTGCTAAGACCAATGTCAAAGATTTCTCTGCCTATGCTTTCTTCTAGGAGTTTATGGTTTCAGGTCTTATACTTAAATCTTTAATCCATTTTGAGTTTGTTTTTGTGTGTTGTATAAGAAAATGGCTCAGCCTAGATGGCATGGCTCAGTTCAATTCAGGGTCAGGGTACATGCCCGGGTTGCTGCCTCGATCCACAGGGGACACGGGGGGTGTGCATGCAGGAGGCAGCCAATCAATGACTCTCTTTCATCATTTATGTTTCTACTTATCTCTCCCTCTTCCTTTCTGAAACCAATAAAAAAATTTTTAAGTGATCCAATGTTATTTTTTGCATGTATCTGTCCAGTTTTTCCAACACCACTAATTGAAGAGACTGTCTTTCCATTATCTGTTTCTCCCGCCATTGTAGATTAGTTGACCATGTACATGAGGACTAACTTCTTCATTTTCTATTTTGCTCCATTGATATGTGTGTCTGTTTTGGTGCCCACACCATGCTGTTTCATTACTGTAGCTTTGTAGTAGTGTTTGAAATTGGGGAGCATGATACTTCCAGTTTTGTTCTTTTTTGGTCGAGATTACTTTGGCTACTTGGGGTCTTCGTGGTTCCATATAAGTTTTAGGATTATTTGTTCTAGTTCTGTGGTTGATTCCCAGACTTTTAGTTTTGTTTTTTGTTTGTTTGTTTGTTTCATTCTATCTTTGAGGAAAAAAATAACATTGACATTCATATTAGCAACTCTAAGAGAATTAAGATTTGATTCTCTAAGACCGTGTTCGGTAAACTGTGGATCACGAGCCATATGCGGCTCTTTGGCCCCTTGAGTGTGGCTCTTCCATAACATGCCACAGCCTGGGCAAGTCTATTTTGAAGAAGTGGCATTAGAAGAAGTTTAAATTTAAAAAATTTGGTTCTCAAAAGAAATTTCAACCGTTGTCCTATTGATATGTGGCTCTGTTGCCTAATGAGTTTGCCGACCACTGCTCTAAGAGATGCGTTCTATGTGACTATTTCTCTATCTCCCCCGTCAAAAGAAATCTTAGCTAGCAGTGATTTTCTGTGAATTACAGATCACTCTCAAAAGGCATTATCTTTGCTCCTAAATACTTTCTAAATGTATTTCAAGCCTTCACATCCCCTACTCTCCTGCATCTATAAAACAGGCTCATAGAGTGGAATCCATGATTGTGTAATCCACCCCCTCTAGTTATAACAAGGCCCAGGAAAGAAGGGTTTACATGGAATAAAGGACTTCCCCCTTTCCCAAATAATTGCTCATGAATGGATTTTACTTAAGCAGGAGCTTAAGCACATCTCAACAGACACCAGGGGTCATAGCTGCCAAACGAACACTGCAGGAATGTAAAGACTAGCTGGGGACCCTCTGGATTCCCAAAGCAAAGTTGACTTTCCCGATTTGGTAGAGGAACAGGGCCAAGTGGGAGTTGAGATGGATTCTGTTTTTCATGAGCCGTGTTGTCTGTGGACATGCCCCACAAAGTAAAACACACATTTAAAAATCTCTAGGTGTGAGAGGATGAAAGTTTCAAATCTGCTCATTAGAAAAATCACAAAAGTGTTGGATGACAGCCACGCTGTGGGGAGGATTTTATTTTCCTTGTAACAATCCTAAGGGTTTCTGGGCTTTTAAAGAATCCTTGATTCAAATAAAAAGTGAGAGTTTTTGGAGAACGTCATTCTCTTTGATATCAGATGTATTTTCATCTGTAATTTGCTCCTCTGGCTTATGTGGATATCTCGGCGTGATTCCATCTACTCGTTTAATCTCCGATTTCATTTTTAAAAAGCATGTTTTTTTTGTTTATCTTTGTCCAAAACTGAGTGTAATCTGTGTGCCTTCTAACTCTTCTAACCATCCCAACTTTCCAAATGTCATATCAGAATGCCGAGTGGCATAGAGAAATCTATGCTTGTCTTGACAGGTTGGAAATTGCATATTCACAGGGAGAAAATTAAGTTACTGGTCCCAAAGACAGCCACTTACCAAACCATAATTTTAAAACAGATCGTCACTTTAATTTACTCAAGTAAGTGAGAGGGAAAAGAAAACTTAATACAAATAAGCTATGAGCTACAAGTTTAAAAATTAATGGAGAAAGCTTCCCACAAAAACAAATTTTCATGTACAAGCTAGTTGCAGAATTGGAGAAAAGTTAGCATTCAATATAAGAAAAAAACAAAACAAAACACCAGAAACTTTAACTGAATTTACATATTGTTACTTCTTTCTATTTCTTGAAGCTAAAAAGGCTGATGTTTCTTCAGGGAAAGTTTAATAAACCACCATTTGACCACAGACCAAACATTTGAAAATCACATTCTCACCAACCCAACATACAGATGAGAACATTGAGGACCTTCTTGTGTTACTACTCATGGTCCTTGTTTTTTTTGTTTTGTTTTGTTTTTTAACAATTTGGTCAGGGACTTATAAAGATAACATTTCACTTCATTGTAGCCATCATTCGACCAAAGAGATTTCCAACTTTCAATAAATAAATGTAAAACAAAAAAGAAATAATGTTTATGGTCACAAATATTTGCTTCCCAGAACATTTGCAAAATGCTGTCTGTCAATGTCTCAATATTTATTTAGAATTTGTCCTATCACAAATTCTTAACATTTAGAAAACCAAGGCCTAAAAGAAGTATTCATGTTCTAACCCCCACTAAACACACACACACAGAACAATAATTTTTCAAATGAGTACACATGTAAAGAAAAGAGACAAAGCAAAAATCTACAACATGTCATGAAACAGATTCCTTATGTTCACTGTTCATGGAGAATGAAGTCTTTAAAAATAACCCAAAGGCTCAGATAATGGCAATACTTTCGGTTATTAATTTTGTTTTTATTTCCAGCTCTTCATTAGGTCTATAACTTTTTTTAAAAGAATTTATTAGTAAATCAGAGTGGTGAGTTGGCAATTGGCTTCAGGTCTGGCCATTCTACCTGAGCAATGAAGGAATAAATGACAGAGAGGCCAGCACCACTTGCTTCCTCCCGAGATGGTCTAATTACAAGGTAATGCTGGAAGTAGCTTCATTTGTAGATTAATTAGCTGATGCCCAGGCAGTTCTTTGAACATAAAAGGCCAAGCATAATTATTCATCCTCAAGCTAATGATCATTTAATTAGGGTTTTCTTCTTGTGTAATGGTCCATAAAGAGGAGGGCCTCTAGGGAGGGGGCTTCCACCATTACCATAGAGAGGTTTACGGTGATAGATCTAACTAGCATGAGAAAATAGTGTTCAGTGATCAGAAAAAGGTTGTAAAATAAGTTGGAAATCACCCTCTCCTCCCCCAGTCACTAAAAGCCACGAGGGAATGGAAAAAGGAAGCATGCCTTTTGGCGTTGTTTGCATATTTCTAGAATTAGGAATCATAGTTTGAATTGGGCTAAGCCAAAGTTCTCTGGCAAAACCAAA